CTGCTGCGGAAACTGACCAGCAGCGGCTGAATCAGGGACTCCTGGGGCAGAGCCTGACTATTGTAAGGGGGGGCTATGAGGGATCTGGGGTGGCATCTCCTCCCACCACACTCCAGACCCCTCATAGCCCCCCCTTCTGATAGTCCGGCATATCTGATAATCCGGCACCCCCTGGGTCCTAAAGGTGCTGGATTATCGGAAGTTTACTGTACATAGCTATAATAAACTGCATGGTCTTGACTGATACATTGTAATCAATTGGGGCTTAATATAAAAAAACAATATTAGAAAGGTTTACGTGTTTTTTTTTTAAATTGAATGGTATTTTTGTTTCTGGGATATGTGACACATTAGCAGCTTTGGAAGTTTGTGTTTTGCCTGGTGCCTATATTTAGGAAAGCTTGGTTAAATGAGACACTCTGATGCACCACTTTAAGGGTTTGTCTAGACTACATGGCTCCATTGACGGAGCCATGTAAACTAATTTACCCGGCCTAGGCAAAGAAGCAGGGATTTAAATAATCCCCGCTTCATTAAAATAAACATGGCCGCCGTGCTGGGCTGATGATCAGCTGATCTGGCACAGCATGGTAGTCTAAATGCGGATCAGTCGGCTGGGGAGGCCTTTGCCGACTGATCCCTTATGCCTCATGAAACGAGGCTTACAGGATCTGTCGGCAAAAGCTTATAGAGTCATATAGGAATGCTGTGGATTGAATGAAACTGAAATATCTGAGTCAGTATTTTTTATTCTAGATTCTCATAAATTAGTGCCTCATATAGCAGTGGTTCTCAATCTCCGATCTGTGGACCAGCACTGCTTCCTGCCAGGCTGGGGTGGCTATCAGAGCTCAAGCCAGCTGTTTGCGGCAGTTCAATTCTGGCAGCCATGGTGGCTGAGGCAGCAGCAGGAGGAGACAGAGTATGTGCCTTTCCCTCCTCCTCCCCTCTCTGCAGTTGGGGAAATGTGCTAGGAGAGGGAGGGAGTGCGAAGGAGGAGAAAGCATGTGCACCGTCAATGACCACTCTCCCTGTCTGTGTGGCCGCTTTTGCCGGTGGTGGTTCTGGGGCTGAAGTGGCAGCAGGAGGAGGTGGAGCAGAAGATGCCTCCCCAGGGCTCCACACTACCCCCCTCCTCTCGCTCTCATGGACGCTTTTTCTAGCAGTGGCACTGGGGCTGAGGCTGTGGCAGGAGGAGGCTGAGCAGTAATAGTGGTCCCCCCTTGGTAATAGTGGCTGGCTGGAGCTCTGTGTTTCCCCCCTACCCATGGGTGTGCAAGACACACTTGGGGAGGGAGGAGGTGTGAAGGAGGAGGGCTACTCCCCCTGCACGTGAGGCAGTAACGGCCATGCTAAAGGGGGCAGCCTCCTCTGGTGAGTGTGGGAGGGGAAAAGGGGTGTTGGGTGAGAGCATGGTGGGGTCACAGGGCCAAGCGGGTGTTGGCATGGTCTGTAGTGGTGTAGGTCAGAGACTTTGGGTTGGGGCTAGGTGGATGGTAACGTTTTATTTGCATAATGAATATGCAAATAAAATGTTACCGATCTGTCAAAATTTTGTGAATGGCTTTGCCAGTCCGTGGCATAAAAAAGGTTGGAAAACACTGTCATATAGTACAGTATATGTTCCTATTTTGATTTTAAATATATGTGTGCAAAATGTATACTTATATCATCATTCAAATATTGGACTAGAGCCGTGGTTCCCAACACGGTGCCCATGGGTGCCATGGTGCCCGCGGGGGCATTTATGTGCACTCGCACCGGCATTTTAAAATTGCTCACATTCACCCCTGCTTAGAGCAGGGTCGGCAGCCTGGGGCCCGTGAGGGAGCCCGACACGGCACTTTGGAGGCTTGAGCCCCGCCCTCACCACAGCAGGCAGCCCGCGCAGGCGCTTCAGTAGCCGGAGCAAACCCCACACTGGTCGGGTCCGGCTGCAAGGCAGCAACAGCTCCCCCCCCCACTGAAATATCTGAGTCAGTATTTTTTATTCTAGATTCTCATAAATTAGTGCCTCATATAGCAGTGGTTCTCAATCTCCGATCTGTGGACCAGCACTGCTTCCTGCCAGGCTGGGGTGGCTATCAGAGCTCAAGCCAGCTGTTTGCGGCAGTTCAATTCTGGCAGCCATGGTGGCTGAGGCAGCAGCAGGAGGAGACAGAGTATGTGCCTTTCCCTCCTCCTCCCCTCTCTGCAGTTGGGGAAATGTGCTAGGAGAGGGAGGGAGTGCGAAGGAGGAGAAAGCATGTGCACCGTCAATGACCACTCTCCCTGTCTGTGTGGCCGCTTTTGCCGGTGGTGGTTCTGGGGCTGAAGTGGCAGCAGGAGGAGGTGGAGCAGAAGATGCCTCCCCAGGGCTCCACACTACCCCCCTCCTCTCGCTCTCATGGACGCTTTTTCTAGCAGTGGCACTGGGGCTGAGGCTGTGGCAGGAGGAGGCTGAGCAGTAATAGTGGTCCCCCCTTGGTAATAGTGGCTGGCTGGAGCTCTGTGTTTCCCCCCTACCCATGGGTGTGCAAGACACACTTGGGGAGGGAGGAGGTGTGAAGGAGGAGGGCTACTCCCCCTGCACGTGAGGCAGTAACGGCCATGCTAAAGGGGGCAGCCTCCTCTGGTGAGTGTGGGAGGGGAAAAGGGGTGTTGGGTGAGAGCATGGTGGGGTCACAGGGCCAAGCGGGTGTTGGCATGGTCTGTAGTGGTGTAGGTCAGAGACTTTGGGTTGGGGCTAGGTGGATGGTAACGTTTTATTTGCATAATGAATATGCAAATAAAATGTTACCGATCTGTCAAAATTTTGTGAATGGCTTTGCCAGTCCGTGGCATAAAAAAGGTTGGAAAACACTGTCATATAGTACAGTATATGTTCCTATTTTGATTTTAAATATATGTGTGCAAAATGTATACTTATATCATCATTCAAATATTGGA